GACCGTGCCCTTTCCAAAGAGTCAAATGGGCCGGCAACTGCTCTTGGTGAAGGTGGACGTGCCGGCATCGGCAGGGCCGGCAGGGCCTCTTTTGCTGGCCACCGCTCACTTGGAAAGTACCAAGGACCATGCGGTCGAACGCAAGCGTCAACTGCTGCAAGCCCTACGACTCTTGCGGAAGAGGGTGCCACCCAAGGGTGCCGCACTCCTGGCGGGCGACTTGAATATCCGAGACGAGGAACGGGGAGAAGCCCAAGCGCTCTATTTGTCAAATGGTGATGTTATTGGCAACACCAAAAGCTGAAGTGAAGTGCTAAAACTGAGATGTTTATGCATGTTTACGAATCGTGTTACGGATCTTTCTCTCTCGATGCATGTGGGATCCAACAATACCTTCAATCTGCACTCAGTGGGGCGGTTGGCACACGGGACGTCGCACCTCGGAACTCGGGAGGTGATGGATACCGACTCGTGGACTAAGAAGGCACCAATTGGGATGCACGAAACTTGCGGACGATCATACGACGCGTGCCCACACACAGGCACCAATTTGGATTGTACAAGCTCTTCCTATGGGGGATTGAAATCTATATCAAGAGAATCGTCCGAGTCTCGTCGTCACGTCTCGTCTGGACGTCGACGGGTCGACGGACGCCTGTCCTCCTCTCCTCTTCAGGAGGTGAGAGAGGTTCAGAAGGAGCTGGGTGATGATGCTGCGGCCTTTTCGGACGTTTGGAGCTTCTGTGGATCACCTGAAAGTGACCGTTGGACCTGGGACACCACGGCGAACAGTGGCTGGCTCAGCGGAAAAACCGAGACAGACCGTCGTGGTTCGTTGATTTATTTCGTTCAGTTTTCGGGTCTATCCATGTCTATCCTATTCATTTTATGGGTGAAGGCTGTATTGACCCTCATCCTTGACTGTGATTGGGATAGATCAAATAGACTCAAGTCTTTTTGTGTGTTTTCTCCGAAGTTTGCATGGCTTTGCGATTTGAATCAAGTGAAAGTGAATCTAGAGTCAGCGAACGGGAAGGCAGTGCCACAGTGCTGTTGTTTTTGGTTAGACACTCCAAACATCTCCAAACTGTCAACCAATTGTGTGTCCTTCACTAGATCAATACCATTATTTGAGCTGGGAGCTGTGGTTTCAATTGATAATGTGTCATCTCTTCCCTCCAATGTCTTGTACCTTGGTCCATCTTGGTCCCATTGTCCCAGAAAACCCATCGGGAGCAGGCTCAAAGGGTCTTAAAGGTGAATGAAGAGGTGAGACACTAAGTTGAGGTAGATCGCATTCCTTCGGCCTACCGAGGTAGGTAGATGCCTCTCGGTACTGTACATCTCGCAAAACCGGGAGTACCCAAAAAGAATCGCACTGGCTGGCCATGAGCTTTTTGTTGCACCCAGACGCTCCAAACAGGCCTTGGTCCCTCAAAACCATAGGGATTGCTTCGGGTCCGGACCCCTCCAGAGGATTCGGGTACGGCCCCTACTGAAGGCAGGGTCCATGAGCTTTTTGTGGCACAAGACAAATGAAAACGACTAAAGTGCCAACTGATGACTCGAGACCTGCGTGACTCGAGGCAACATTGGAGCCAACTTTGCCTGCAAAAGCCGCTTTGATCGGATGCTCTTCATTAGTCCAGGAGTCTCCGACGTGAAGGGTGCCTCGGGGTTGACAGCGAAGGCGAAGGCAAAAGCCTCGAAACCTGGGGATGGCTGGCAACCCAAGAGCCTCTTGGAGAGTTCTTGGCATATGTTTTACTTGGTTCCAGTCTACATTCGGAGAATTGTTTGGCTTGTCTTTGTTGACATGGTTGTGGGTGGAGATGCATCGTTGTTGAAGTCACTGCAGGACTATTGCACGTGATGTTTTCACTTGAGAGACGTGTTGTATACAGTGGATGAATAGGTAGCTAGCATCTTTCTTTCCGTAGCTATGATGCAGATCTCAGATGCTAGCCATACTGTAGTGAGTTTTTCTTATATATGAGGCATCCGACTCCTTGGGAAAATTTGAGGCATCCGACTCCTTGGGAAAGAGAAGATTGCCGGCCTTCACCGGTTTCCCTCAGACCACTGGGGTCTTCTCACTGAATGGACTGTGGCGCCCGAAGAAGCGCCGAAACCCACACCGAAACCACCCGCGCCGTCCGCTTCGGGCCAACAAGCGACGCTGTCCTTCGCGAAGCTTCCGGTTTCTGCTTCGAAGGATCAGAAAGTTGCTCGGTGAATGTTAGGACCCACGTTGAGCGGCTGAGTTACTCGAGTTTGTCCGTGCTTTTTCATCGCTTTTCTCATGCGCTTTCCCTAATTCGGGCGACACACTGCCTACATACTGCCTACATACTCCCTACATGTCCTGACAAATTGTTGAAGATGGTATATATCTGGATTGTGATGTATTTGGCAATCGACTCACATGAAAATCGCTGAACGCCTCTGAGGTCACCATTGACTTGGATGCCTGATGAGCTGTGATGAGCGAAATGACGGTGCCAGACATCAACAGAGAGTATTTGACTTGAGGACAAACCAATTGACTTGAGGCTGTGATGTCCTGTTGATGTTTGATATCCCATTCGTTCGTTTGGGGAGAACTGACTGCATCATTCTTTGATGCCGGAGCACCGCGTGGGGGAAAAAGACAACTGCATCTTCACGTGCCAGGCAAGTGCATCACGTGCGCATCAAGGCGAACATAAACTTCACAAAGATCAGATCACCTGGCCCCAGCTACTCACTTGGGAGAAATCACGAAGCCTAGCAGGCCTAGCAATGAGATCAACCAAGCCATTTGGATGAGGGAGATGAGACCCACGAGTGGAGGGATGGCTTTAAGACCCACGGGTCGGTTCTGTTTGTTTCATGGCCCCAGCTCTGCCAAGTGGGCCCCAAACCAATCACAATTTGATGACCGGCTTTGACCCACTTGGTCAAAGGGGTAGTAACTGGTACAGTAAGTAATATATAAATATATTAACCCATTTTGGACCTCCCCACGGGTCGGTTCAGCACAAAGCGTGCCGCGAGCTGGTCAGGTCATCAAGCAACATGGGAACCCTTTAGCGCTGAACGAGACAAAGCAGGCCGAGACGGAGGGGGTTCTTTTGGCACCGGGGGACGTCACTCGGTGTTTCTTCCGTTCAAAGGAGGACACAAAAAGAGATCTTGATAGGCTGGAAAGGTCTTATGAGGCTGGACAGGTTTGGATTGAACATGTCATTTATCCATCTATCCATCTATTTATTTATCGATTGATCTATCTCATGGCTTTGAGATGGTTTGAGGTAGAGGAGCATCTATACACATTTATATGAGCTAGAGGTTCTGATTCTTCGTGTCACATTTCGGTGGGGGAACCCGGAAGGGGCCTGTTCCTTCGGACAATCTTGGCTTTGGACCTCGCAGGTCATTTCGGACGAATCTATCGTGCGGCAAACATTATATCTAATTCACATTCATTAACTTACTATATTTATATGTCTTGGTCTTACATCCGTCCGAATCTATCTGATAATTGATCTATGTAGCCACCCCGTAGTGGCATCCTACAGACATATTCTAGCCTTGCCCGAATCGACGTGCGAAGTCGGGCAGACGACCGTCGTCCCCGCCAACAGCCCTGCTCCGCAGCTCGTGGATGCGGCGCTGCCTTTGTTGCGGGCGGTGAACGATTGCTTGGGGGAAGGAGTGGCCATGCACGGCATGGCCCGGACGCCCAAGATGGCCGGCTGTTGCTCTTGTGAGTGATTCATCGGTACAAATCTAAGTCTGGTGAACACTTTAATGTTGCAAGTTGCAAGTCGAGAGTAAGCATTCCGCAAGCTTCTCAATGCCCTGGCGTATGTGGGAGGCTTGCAAAAATAGTCTTTGGAATTGGAGGATTCTTGGCACATGAGACTATATGACATGAAGATTGTTGACTTTTTTCTGAAGCATTTGACTGATGGGTCGCCAACACAGCCTGGCCACTTGGCCATTGAATCAAAATGTTCCTTGAACTCCTTCTTCACCACTATCATCCACTATCTATTCAGCGCATTCTGCAAGAGTTTCTCGACCTCAGAGCACAATTTTGTAGATTGTCAATTGATAGAAACAGTCGTGTGATGGCTCATGATCCATCCCTCTAAAGAAAGGCTGTAGCCAGGAACTCTCCTGCCACCTGGATTTGGACGGACTGTAATTTGACACCGGCGTCCCGCTGTACTTCTTAGCGAAAGGTGCACCCTTCTCGAGGGGGCCAGGGGCATCGTTTAACAGTTCCGAAAGAGAGAACAATAGAGAACTTGATTCTTGTCAGACATTTTTGATACGACCGTGGACACAGACACATGTGGATTTGTCGAGTTGTTTCGCCACCAATGGAACGAGTGAAGATTTGGAACAGATGGAACATATTGAAGAGTTGGTTTCCATCAGGTGCATTGAAAAATTGGTACGTAAATGTGAAAAAAAAAACAACACTTGAAAAGAGACTCCAATGATCATAGACATGATTGTTTGATTGGGAGAAAGTAGGCCACCACCTGAATATGAGTCATTTGTTCGGAAGAGTCTTCTAGTAGTGGAATGTCATATCATTGAAAGGCTGCAATATCATCTTTTTGCCAGGTTGGTCGGTTGGTCACAGATTGAACTTCATCACACGGAGGATTGGTGGGGAGAACATGGGAGGACTAGTTGCAGAAAAGTGCTTGAATTGCCGAGCAGGATGTCTCAGTGACCAACAGAACAGCACAATTTATATCCAAAGCCGGCATTTCTGAGCTCGAACTGACAGCCATTGCCACAATTTGATAATTACAGTAGGTCTTTGAGGTACGGCAAACACACGCTTATACGCTATAAATATACCTAGCAGCTAGCATCCTATAATAATTACTAAGTATACTGAGCAAACCGTGCTGTTTAGCGTACATTGGCTGTTGCTTTTTGAGATCTCATTGGTTGTATATGATGTTTTATTTGCGATGGAGTCAGCATCAAACCCACAGTATTGTTGCCTGAATCCGGCCACAAATCGTTGGGCCATGGCCGTGGCCAGTGATGAGAAGTATGTCCCTGGCAAGGGCTTGGACCGAAGCGCCAATGCTCGTTTGAGGGCTCGACAGGCCGGGCAGCAGAGAGATGCCACTTCGAGATTTTGGCCAAATCAGACTGAAGCCTTTTGTGAGAGATTCTCCAACTTCGGAAGTTTCTGCCAGAGGTCCTCTTTGCACCTTGGCTGTACCCAAGAACTGCTCACTTTGGGAGATTGGTGTTTGACCACTTGTTGAAGGCTTTCGGTCTTGGGACAACAGTTGCAGTTGTGATTTCTGCAGCCTCATGCGGCAACTTTTGTTGGGCACTAATTAGAGGCTAAACTTATATCATAGGTAAAACATGCAAGACTGCAGGCTTCGGATTCAAACACTTTGTCTTTGGATGCACGACCCGAGCAGGAAGACAATGCAAAACTGGTTTGATTGTCGCCCCAGCTGTCAAGCAGTTCCGACCAACTTGCATCGAACAAATATATGATTGGTCAATCTCGAATCTTAAATGAACAGGGTTGGAAGGGTTCCTTGCAAACCATGATTTGCTGATGCTTTATTGCCAGGCCCACATGAACATGATACAGCTATGCAAAAAAAGAGTTCTCTAAATGGCATTGTATATCTTTTTTGGGTGCGACCCTAAGGGATTTGCCGTGACTCTAAGGAAATCCAACCCAAACAAAGAGCCCTCTGGTCTGATACCCCCTATATGAAGCTGTAGAACTACCTCGACTGCCAGTGCCAAGTGCACTGCCAGGCCGAGGAAAAGCAACGTGCGAAGGACGTGGAGTCTGAACTGCCGGGGAAGGACCTCTTCCAGCTTTTAACCACAGCAATCTGAGAACTGACGATGAGCCTGAAGTCATATTGAAGCAAGCAGCGCAAGCAGTGGTTCGACTAACAACAACAACAACAACAACAACAACAACAACAACAACAACAAGGTACAAAAAAAAACTGCAGCCCCATTACAAGATATTTTGTTCCTTTGTCTCTACAAGGGGGTGGAAACAAAATCTGCTGCCATGTCGTTTTTTCCTTTTTTAGCCCCCCCGAAAACAACCAGCCAACATGTACTACCAGTAGTGGTAGTGCTTGTACTAGTGCTAGCACTAGTGGTACTAGTACTAGTAGTAGTCGTTGTTGTAGTGGTCGTTGTTGTAGTGGTCGTAGGAGTAGTAGTAGCCTAGTAGTAGTAGTAGTAGTAGTAGTAGTAGTAGTCGTAGGTAATCGTAGTGGTAGTGGTAGTGGTAGTCCGGTCAGCTAAGCCTCTGTAGAACTTCTACTTAGAACCTCGACCTACCACATCCTAGAGACAAAAACTGCAGCCCTGTTGTTTTTTTGGACCCCCGCCCTGAAAAGATGTTGTTTTTCTTCCCTAGAAACAACATCTGCAGCCGCGCTGTTGTTTTTGGTGTCACGTCCGTACGGGCCCCCGTGAATTTGCACGTTTTTGAAGCAGACAGGGTTCCAACAGTCATTCAGGGGGGGGGGGGGGGGGGGGGGGGGCAATGACATCGGTTCGTGTTTGGGTCGTTTCGTGTTTTCGTCGGTTCGTGGTTTCGTCGAGTCGCGTGTTCGTCGGGCGTTGTTTTTTGAGTTTGGCAGCCGGATGTCAGACAAGAGCGCGCCGCAGACACCATCTCGGGCCGCTGGTTCGCGGGAGGACCCGATTCTCGGTGTAAAAGTAAAAGACTTTTTATGTGCTGAGATAGTGACCTCAGGCTTGCTTCGGAATGTTCGAGCAGGTTCTTTGTTGTGTGCAGATGGTGCACTTGCATGGTCGGCCGCTGCTTTCGAAGCGCTTGACTGTGAAACACGTCAAGCATGTGAAGAGTCAATGGACTAAGAGGGCCAATGGTCAACTCGAAGCAGATGATCTTTGGCACCCATCAGCCAGATCGGCTGTGGTTGTGGATGAAATTCATCCCGCCACAAAGCAAGAACCGGTCCAAAGGATTGGTGAACCCACGGCTGTGGAATAGAGTGTATCAGTGGGTGTATCGCCACCACACGCGACCTGAGAGCGTGCCGACCACGGCTGAAAAAAGGCCGCTACAACTTTTTTCGACTTTTGAAACGCTCGAAACGCCATTTCGTATGAGCCTGCCCACACATCAAAAACAACAACAACAAGAACAAACACAACAACAAGAACAAGAACAAGAACAACAACAACAAGAACAAGAACAACAACAACAATAAAAAGAACAAGAAAAACAACAAGAACAATATGCAGAACAGCAAGAACAAGAACAAGAAGAAGAAGAACAACAACAAGAACACCAACAACAAGAACAAGAACAAGAACAAGAACGACAAGAACAATACCAACAACAAGAACAGCAAAAACAAGAACAATAACGAAAGCAAGAACAATAACAATAACAACGACAACAAGAACAAGAACAAGAACACCAACAACAAGAACAATAACAAGAGCAACAAGAACAACAACAACAATAACAAGAGCAAGAACAACAACAACAAGAACAATAACACGAATAACAACAACAGCAACAACAACAATAACAACAACAACAACAAGAACAACAACAACAAGAACAATAACAAAAAAACAACAAGAACAACAACAACAAGAACAATAACAAGAACAACAAACAAAACAACAACAACAAGAACAAGAACAAGAACAAAAACAAAAAAAAACAACATCAACAAGAACAAGAACAAGAACAACAACAGCAGCAACAAGAACAGGAATATGAAACAATAACAAGAACGAGAACAAAAACAACAACAGAAACAACAACAACAAGAACAACGACAACAAGAACAACAACAAAAACAAGAACAACAA